TGATGGAGTGTTTACAAAGGTGTTAAAGAAATGTAAAGATGAACTTTGGCTATCTTTGGGTAATGTATTTAACATATCACTACAAATTGGCATAGTGCCTGATAAGTGGAAAATGGCAAGTGTAATAATACGTATTTAAGTTTGGTGACAGGTCCTTGGTTTGGAAGTATAGACTAATAGTATTTAAAAACAAATTTCACTTGTGTTCATATGAGCGATATAGACTTTATTAAAGTATATGTAATAAAATATGCTTGAGCAGTACACCAAGAACCACCCTCCCCCCTTCTCTCTTTGACCGCAGATCATACTATTGTTGATTGAACGCAGGAAGGAATGATCAAAATGATTTAAACCTTTAACATAATATCTTGTTGACAATAAGAAATTTCATGTTTAGTATAAGATACATAGATTATGTCAAGATGACAAATGATATTTAGAAAAAAGAACAAGATTGAAGTTATTATGACTATAACTAAAAACCGTTTATATAATTATGGATGCCGTTATATATGAGAGTATTACATAATCTATAGTCACGGACTCGTATATTATATATTTTTATGTGTGCAGAAGTTGATACGTAATATAGCATGATTTTTAAAATTGATGTTCACAGGAGTTACCAGTGTCATAACAGCCTATTAGTTTAAATAAGAATAAAAAAATACGGAATAAATGAATTTATTAAACGTCTTTGCATCTCCATGTCCAATATACAGATTAATTAGGCACATTTTTGTGCAGGTGAAGTACACATCCCTCTCCCCTTTCTATTTAACTCTAATCATATTAGACATGGTCATAGAATTGTTCATTGAACCTAGACAAATAAGAATGAATTTTAATTTAACCTTAGGACATAGTATGTTGACGAGAAAGATGTTTCCAATAGTGTAATATGCATACTATTATGATTATATTATTGACTGATTTTATAAATGTTACTGAGGTGAAATTTATCAGGTTTATTGGAAGGTAATGACTTGTCAAGTGCATTATAAGTAGGTGTTACATATGCCATTTTCGATTTGTCTGGAAGTGTGGCAGTTTTTGGTGATTGATATGTTGAATAGGTAAAGGTATGGCAAGTTGGTTTTTTTTCATTGCAGAAGGTTGTAAAGCAATATTTGATGGTTTGTGGATTTATTTATTATATTTTGTTTATTTGTACGAGGACCATGTCTGTTATTATCGTAATTTTTTATAGTTTATTATCTTCGTGTTTTACATAATGTTTTACTTGAAGAATATGAGTATTAATTTCCTGGGTGAAAAGTGAGGGGAAGTAGGTATTGAGAAATTTTAACGTGTGCTTATCAGTCAGTGATGTTAATTGGGCCTATCTATCTTGTTGGTAATTTTTAGTTTTGTATGTGAAAGAAATATTTTTGATTAGTGTTTGTTTGAATACTTTGAGAGTTTAGCGTGATATTCCCTTTTTTGTTTTAGTAATATTTTCTTTATCTCTTGAATAGATTTATTAGTAAAGTGTAGATTCCCTCTTTTTATAGGTATATGTCTGTACGTATTTTGAGCAATGAGATGTTTGAATTTATTATTGATGCATTTTGGATGAATTTTGTTTGATTTAATTTTGCTACTGTGAATAAAAGTTGTCTTTGCAGTTAGAAGTATGCTTTGAAAAATGTGATATTATCAAGCAAGATAACGTATGTGTGTATTTGACCTTTAGTCAGGACATGGTAATTTAACGTACGTAGGTAATTATCGAGTGGGATGAAGTGGGTGAAGTGAAAATGTGGGACAGATGGAGATTTGATTGCAGTAGTTGTTTGGGTGATTTCATGATAAAATGAAAGACAGGTTGTGGTGTGTGATGACTTTGGCCAAGGTCATCATTTATTAACATTGAGAATATGAATTGGTTATTTTTTTAGCCAGAAGCAGATTATTTTGTCTAGTTTGTTTTTATTAGAATGAAAAAACAATCGTGAAGAGTATAAATCAATCAAGTTAATTTGTTAGTCAAATTTTTTTTTTCGTGTGATAGTTTTAATCAATTTGTCTAAAGTTTAAATGTTTCATTATAATGGGATTTTCGTATGTAGGTGGCTTATGAATTTGGTACAAGTTTATTGGACTGTTATATATCAGTCAGTTGAGGTGCCTATAAATGACAGGGAAAATGACTGACTGACTGACTGACTGACTGACTGACTGTCTCTGTCTGTGTTTCTGTCTGTCACGACTTTTGTGAAAGTGTAGCGAAGCCGAATGTGTTTGATGTTTATAATGTTATATCATGTGTAAGAAGAAAATAATGTGAGACATACATAGAAGGGTACGGCAACAACGTTGCTATTGATGCTGTAAGTGTGGAATAGTTTATAATGGTATATATCGCATTAGAAAGGCGTTTTTGTTTGAGGTTGATCTAGGCGTCTGTTTTATTAATATGTATATTAGGTAGAGTTGCAATTAATGTTGGGTGGTATGTTAGATTTGTAGTGGTTTGTATTGTAAACGTTAAGGGAGATAGTCAGTCAGTCATTTAGTCGTTTGCGATTATCATTTATTTGTTGAACATTGAAATGGTATAAAATACCGACATTGTTAGGTAAGACACATATGCAACAGTTAGGTATCTTTATTTCGAAACGTTTCGCCTACACAGTAGGCTTCTTCAGTGGAGTATAGAAAAGTTGATAGAAGCAGAAGATACTTGAAGACGATGTAATCAGTTCATCACCCTTAAAGTTTTGAGGTGGTCAGTCCCTCAGTCTGGAGAAGAGCATTGTTTCGTTGTCTGAAACAATATGAAGAAGTTGAAGTGACAGAATGGGGTTTTATATAGTGCCAGGAGGTGAGACGTATATTGCCCTCCGAAAGCAACTTACGTCTCACTTCCTGGCACTATATAAGGCCCCATTCTGTCACTTCAAGTTCTTCATATTGTTTCAGACAACGAAACAATGCTCTTCTCCAGACTGAGGGACTGACCACCTCAAAACTTTAAGGGTGATGAACTGATTACATCGTCTTCAAGTATCTTCTGCTTCTATCAACTTTTCTATACTCCACTGAAGAAGCCTACTGTGTAGGCGAAACGTTTCTAAATAAAGATACCTAACTGTTGCATATGTGTCTTACCTAACATTTATTTGTTGATGAATTGATTTGGCATTAATAATAATTGTATTTTGAATATTGTTTTAAAGATATCCCTGAGGTATGTGTGTAATAAGAAAGCATTAACTGTTTGTAACTTTAAGACTCCAGCTAGATTGATGTATATTATTTTATAGAAGTATCCATAGTTGTATAATTTATCAATTGAAATTCGTAGACGAGTCATGAGTTAGCGTGTTAATTGAATTGGGTAATAGAAGGATTATATCGCCATCGAGATGAAGGGATTTCATAATTTTTTTCAAAGAATAGGTGTGAGTTATTAATGAATGGGATTTCAAGTTTATTGTATTATTATTCTTTTCAGCAATTTCTAGCAATTCCGTAGGTGTGCATTAATTGGGTAATGTGATTTTTTTGAAGGTAGTGGTAGGTATGAATGGCATGTTTCCTTTATGCGTGTGTAAATATTTGTTTGGTTGACATATACTTTGAGAGGATTTGTTTGTTTGAATTATTTCCCTTAATGTCATTATTGCCAACATAAAGAGGGGTTTGTCATTATTGGACTATATTAGTGAAGCTGTTGCTGACTGAGTGAATGTAAGTGACCAAGAGGTGGTGATGGAGCGCGCACACATGGTCTGTTTGGTAGAAAAAGGAGGGTTGATATGTTTGAGAATGTCGTGTTATTAAAATAATGTTAAGTAACTAAGTTGATTATGATGGGAATGAGTGGTAAGTTGAAGGAGAGTAGCCAGTGAAGTGCGGTCATGTTTGAGAAGTTAATTAGTTTAGTTTAATGTTTATTATGCACCCCATACCCATCCTGTGGGCTTTAGTCAAAAGATTACAGAGGTACATAATTAATTTGTCCAGGGACTGGACTTTAAAGTTTTAATATTTGAGCAATTTACAGAGGTAATTAACTGACAATTTACAAAGGTAATGAACTCGAGGTAGCTCTGGTCAGTAATGACAAGTTAGAAAGGTATTTATAGATTACAGAGGTACGTAATGGTTTGAGGGAGTGGGCCCCCAAAGTTTAGATAGGAAAAACTAGGAAAAAAAAGGGTAATTAAATCACAAGTTCAAAGGTAATAAATTGTGTAAGAATGGTTACTTACGTTTATATATGGGTTTAATCGTGAAGAAATTATAGTGTAATGAGCAATTCACACTTTCACACCCGGTCACAACTGTAATGAGTTATTGGTGCAAATATTGATTTTTGAGACACACACACACACACACACACACACACACACACACACACATGTGGTAATGCTTTGTTTACAACTAGCAAAGTCAGGGTATTTCTGCAGAATGGTCTGCAATATACCATTGTGGATAAAATACTTAGCCATTTGTTGAACATTTGTGAGTGAGTTATTTCTAAATTCATTAATTTGATCACAGTCCAGTACATAATGATGCAGGGTGTGACAATAGTCCATCTGGCAAAGTTTACATTTCGTTTTGTCTACATCTGGTGGTGGTGATTTAATCTGCCAAAGATACTTGTAACCTAGCCGGAGCCGGGCGGTAGTGACATCCAAGAGTCTGCTTATTTTGTTGGATGCATCATAGACATGTGGCTCCTCGTGCATGATAGAATGATGATAGATGGACTTAATGGTTTCAATCTTCCTGAGCCTTAAGTCCAAAAAATTCAGTTGAAGTTCTTTTCGTATTATTGTTCTCAAACTACTACCTGACAAGCCAAGATTATAATCTACTTCCTCTTTGAAAGAATACAGATTAGCCAAATTATCAATTGTATCATGCATCTGTAGACCAACGTGAGATGGAGTCCACAGAATGTGCACTCTTGACTCCACTGTCCACAATTCTACCATACTTGTCTGGTTTCTGACACAAGCATGCAACAAATTATACTTAATGAGTTGAGAGCATTTATGGATGACAGAGAATTAGTTACAATTAAAATGTCAATCTTTGGTACATAGATGCATTTCAGTACAAGGAGTATGGCAAACAGTTGTGTCTGAAGGCTAGAGGCCCAATTATCGATGTGTGCTTCAATTTCTTTAAGAGAGCCATCACTCTGTACGACAACAGCAGCACTACGAGCTGCACCAGTGGATTGGTGAACATAACCATGAGCGTAAATTATTTGCGAGTGTGTGCTGTGACTAAATTATCAATACAGCTTAAGGCCTCGTGTTTGATTTGAAGGCGAAGTTTGTTATGATTTAAGTAGTAGTTTGGGGGGAAATGGAGGAATAATAGTTTGGAATGAGGTAATATTTCCTGGAGCGGAGAAGTGCCGCTGTTGCCTTACTTGACATAGATCATGTATGTGATTCATGTGGAGAGAATTGATTTTATAATTTGACACTATTTATTGACGGTGGTTATTTTTGTTATTGGTGAAGTTTGAAGGGCTTGGGAGTTAAAGCGACTGACGCTATAATTGCTAGTGAGTATTTTGTTGTTAATCAGTTTGAATGTTAATATTTTTTATATAATTTGAGTATATTTGTGCAAATTATAAGAAGTTTTTGATTTTTTTATTTTTTTTTTATTTTTTTGTTACACGTTGATGGAAGTTGGAGGTGGTGGTGTGTAAAGATGAGTAATGTTTGATTATGTATATTTTGTATTTAAATTTATTTGTCATGTAGAGAGATGATTTACTAATTATTTAAATTTTTTTTTTTTTTTCGGGTTGAAGTGAGTTGACGGTTGAGTGTGGTTGGCGGATTTTGGCCGAGGCGGCTATTGTAGAATGGTTTTTATGGTTAATATTGTAAGTGATAATGTTTGAAATATTTAAAGAGGTTAACTCATTTTTCTTATTGCAGGTTTTGGGGAGGCGCTTATTAGCGTGAGGAGTGAGGGCTGGCTGGTTGTTTTAGTAAGATGAGTAATATTGTTTTAGGGAAGTCAGTGTTAATTGATTGTATTAAGGCTTGAAACAGTGAATAAACAATGAAGGTCGCATCCCAGACTTGTCATTGTTAATTTTGGAGCAAGTGTATATGTAATGTAGGAATTATGTATACATTTGTGGTGTTTGAGGTCTTAATGTTTGGGACGTAATCTCTGGTATGGTAATAGTTTGAGAAAATATTAACAAAGAAAGAGAAATGATTGTAATGTTTAAGGAAGGTGATGGCAGTAAAATAGATATTATATATCGAGTATAGAATTTTTCTGGCGAGAAATGTCAATGTATTTCAAGTATTTTATTTTTGTTTTATAGGTTGGTGATGAATTGGCGGCCAAGTGTGAGTGACGGAGTTTTATTATAGGAAGTAAGCGTGGACTGCTGCTGCTGCTGGTGGTGGTGGTGGTTATGCTGCTAATGCTGTGTATTAAGATAAGTAATATTTTCTGTTTGTGTAAACTGTTTGTTTGAGAGTTATAGGGAGAATAATGTTTCTGGGTTGAAGATAGTTTTTATTTGAGGATACAAAAATTACTTTGAGTGTATTAAGGCTTGAAACGGGGAGCAAATAATGAAGGTCGCATCCCAGACTTGTCATTGTTAGTTTTAGAAAAAGTGTATATATAATGTGGGAGTTGTGTATACATTTGTGGTGTTTGAAGTCTTAATATGCGTAGTGGAGTTTTTTTTTTTTTTTTTTTTTTTTTTTTTATAATGGTGGGTATGGATGTATTTTATAAATATGAATTTATTTTATTTTTTAAATGTGGTAGTAATAAAATGAGTACTGATTTTAAGTAAGTTTGAGATGTTGGATGGGGGAAGTGTGAATGTATTTAAATTATTTTATTTGATATGTTTAGTAAGAAATTTAATTAGTATTTCAGGTTGGTGAAGGTGATGAATTTACATCTAACTAACTAACTGACAGACTGACTGAGTGGTTGACTGATTTTTACTAGTGGTGTGTATTTGGTATGCCTTTTTTTTTTATTTTAGAATTGACAATGTTTGAAGAAATGATGTGAAATGTTTGTAGGTATTTTTTTAAATTGTTTAATATAATAGACTAATTGAAATATTTTATTGCAGATTTTTGTTGTGCCGAGGTGTTGATGGGAAGACTGAGTAAATGTTGTTATTGGTGCTGTTATTTAAGATGAGTAAAATTATTTATTGTTGTAATAAGTATTATTAAAGATTAACTAGTTATGTGTTGAGAAGATTTATTTGAAGATAATTTTTGGTTGAACAATAAATTTAGTTTAAAGTGTATTAAAACCTGAAACACGGACTAAATAATGAGGGTCACATCCTAGACTTGTCATTATTAGTTTTTGAACAAGTGTATATGTAATGTGGGAGTTGTGTATACATTTGTAGTGTTTGAAGTGTTAATGTGTAGTGGAATTGTATATGAAAATTTAGAGATTTGATGAGAGAAATGTCAATATAAGTGAATGTTTTCCAGAGGATGCGATTGAGTTTGGTTGAGGCATCGAGTGTATGGAGTTATTATTGAAAGGCGTGTATTAACATTTGTTTTAAATATTTAAAATTTTTTATTTTAATATTTTTTATTAATAAAAATTCATATTTTTTCAGGTTGGAGGTTGTGGGGTGACTGAGTTTGGTAGAGGCAGCGAGTAGGAGGAATTAATGTTGAAAGGTGTGTATATTTTATTTATTTTTTTTATACGTGTTAAAAGTAGTTATGTTTAGTACTAATAATTAATTTAATATTTTAGGTATGTGAAGGCGACGACTAATTGGCGGCTGATTAAAATAATGATTTTTGTGTCGAGGCATTGAGTGTTTACCTGGAGAGAGTTTGGGGGGTCAACGACCCCGCGGCCCGGTCTGTGACCAGGCCTCGTGGTGGATGAGCGCCTGATGAACCAGGCTGTTACTGCTGGCTGCACGCAAACCAACGTACGAGCCACAGCCCGGGAAGACTGACTGACTGACTGACTGACTGACTGACTGACTGAAGGGAGCTATCTGTTAATAATTTGTTTAAAGTCGAGTATTATTATGATTTATTGATGAGCCTTAAGAAAGTAAAGTAAAGTAATTTTTAGTGCATTTAGGGTTGAAACACTGAATAAATAATGATAGTCGTATCCCAGACTTGTCATTATTAATTTTGGAGCAAGTGTATATGTAATGTGGGAGTTATGTATACATTTGTTTGAGGTGTTAATAGTTGTCGAGTTTAATTATTGTTTGAGATAATGGTGGATATACTTGTAATGTGGGCTAATGTATTTGTATTAGATATTAATTTTTAAGAATTTTTAAAGATTGAAATGTCATTAATGTATTGTAATTGTTTATTTGTTATTGAAATGTTTTAGGCTATTAATAAGTAATTGATATCTTTTTGTTGTTGCAGGAGGAGAGTTTTTGATATGGTGATTGATTGTTAGTGATTAGGAGAGGCGGAGATAATGTAGGAGCTAATAATGAAAAGTTAAGTATTATTGAATAATTTAACTTTATTTCTTAAAGGTATTAAGTAAATTTAGTTATTAATTTGAAGATGATAGAAGTACAAAGAAATAATTAGTTATTTTTGAAGATAAGATGGCAAAGGGCCTTTTATGTATATGATTAATATTGAGCCTTAAGGGGGCAGTAGGGTAAAATCTGTAACTGTGTTTACCGTCCGATTTTCTCCTGTTTTTGTACACAAGACAAATTAGTTTTACTCATTTTTGAAAATATTTATCAAAAATATACTTCAAAAAACAACTGAGAAATGACTGATTTATTGAAAATGCCCTTATGGGCAAACTTGATCTTATATGGGAGTACACAAGGTTGTTTTGACACTTGGTGCCGAGAGAACAATGCTTATACTAATTATCGTAGTCCTTTTCTCTAAATAAACTTTATCTTTATTTCACCAAAAATAAAGTTTATTAGTTCCTCGAATATTTCCAAAAAAATCTGCCGTTTACTCCCACAACTCGCAAAGTATTTTTATTATTATTATAATCAAAAAGAAGCGCTAAGCCACAAGGAACAAAGTATTGTGAATATTTTCAATATTTAGTCAGTCAGCGAAAAATGGAGAAATCATTATTCAAAAATTGTGATTATTATATTGCATTTAATTCAGTAATAAAGCGAGAAGCTTGGCCATTAGGTGAATAAGTTACTTGCGAGATATCGGCCGGGAGCGCGGGCCGGCGCCTGTCTCAAGAAAAAGATTTGTATTTTTCGCGAAAATCGCGTTTGTTTGGGTGTATTTCTCAGTAAAGTGATGTTCTAGTGCAATTAGCGTCTACAAAACACTGTTTTCTCTTACTCGGAGATTAAAGAATGCGACCTGGAGAGGAGTAGGTCAATATTTATCGAAATATTCCCGATAATCTTTCGTAATATTATGGGGTATTTTATTCAGTCTAGAGTATATAACATATTTTTATATTATTTATAGTGTTTATTATATCATATTAGATCAATTCTGATAGAAAAATAAGTTGTAGATTTGATATATAAGGTGATATAAGCGTATTATTATTACAATCAAGGGGGAAGCGCTAAACCCGGAGGATTATACAGCGCATGGGGGGGGGGATGTGGAAGGCATTCAGGCTTAATTCGGGGAACTTTAGCACAGATCCAATTCCCTAAATCAAGAGCCCGTCACCAACATCAAGGAACCTTCCTTGAGGGGTATATAAGCGTAATAAAGAGTAATTTCTCGTGGCGTGGCAACCCTTCCGCTCATCTTATATGATTAATGATTGTTGCTAAATCTAGGGATAAGCTCCGCTTTCAGTTATTATATTTGAAAGTATAATGCAAGAAAAAGCGATAAATAAGTAAAAATTTCAAAAATATATATGGGCCGTGAGCAGACTCGCTACCAACATCGCGGTGACCATAGCTGATATAAATGGCTATAATTTCTTGTAGAAACGTCGTAGAATATTCATTCTGGTACCATTTTGTTGGCCAAGAGTTGAGCTATTTTTTAGTATATATAAGTTAATTTCGATATTTTTTCGGTGAGCGTGTGCGGAAATATGCCCTACTGCCCCCTAGATGAATTTAAAGTAATAATCATTAATATGTTGATTAGTAAACATTTTAGTAGAGATGTTATATGGTCATTGTGTAGCTGTGGATTGAGTCTAATTGAGTAGTGTTTATTAATACAATGAAAGTATTAATAAGTGTTAGTTAATATTTTGTGAAGTTAAAAAATTAATAAAAAATTTTTTGAGTGATTTTTAATAATTTAGTAAATAGATGAAGTATTGATCAAAGTTTGAATAGGTTATATAAAATGGAAGAGTTGATTTTGTTTAATGTTAGTTTAATTAAATAAAGTTAATGAGATTTATGTTTAAAAATTGCTAAATGTAAAAAAGTCAATTTTTGTTTTCATAGGTTGTTGGAAGTGTCTGTGGCGGTGGCATCAACAGTGACATTGGTCAATTTGATGTAGATTATGTTAGAGGGAGGGAGTTAATCAATTGTTTGACTATTTTAAGATAATTAGTTATTGAATCTCAAGTGAGGAATAGGTTTTGGTGAATTGTGGACCGAGCATTGTAAAAGCCATATTGACTTTGATCACTGAAAGAGTGAAGATACTGCTGGTGTCCAGACCAAGTTTAGACTAATAACTACAAACATAGTTAATAATGAAGGTCGCATCCCAGACTTTTCATTGTTAATATTACTTCAAGTGTATATATAATGTGGGAGTTTATATATGTTTGTGGTGTTTGAGTTATTACGTTGAGACTTGTGTTTTGGAAATACCGGGTATTGATGTACTCTGGATGGGTTGATTTGTCGCTGTGAAATGGTTAGTAACATTATTTGTGAAACATGATACCAATAAATAGATTAGTTATGGTTTATTATAATGAAGAGGAAGTGGTAAGATTATAGAGTTTGTGGGAAGTTGAGCGTAGACTGAAATTCCTAAATGAAGAAACTTTATATGATGGGTATATATGATTTATTATAATGAAAATTGATAATAAAAAGTGTATATATTTTATCTTTAATTGGAATTTTTTGAGATTATAAAAAAGTAAAATATTGGTTTAAAGTATTTTATTGTGGAAATTGAGATATGAAAATTGTTAAAATAGTTTTTTACTGAAAGTTTAAATAAAAAGAAAAATTATGAAAATGTTTATTTATTAAATATGAAAAGAAATTGATTAGCATTACTTAAATTTGGAAAAAATATGAAAATAAATTTTTTTTTTTTTAGAAATATAATTAATAGTTAAATTGTTTAATAATGATTTTATTTGAAAAATATTTTAGTACAAATTGTCGTATTCTGTTAAAAGTAATCAATCATATTATGAGAATAATGAAAAGAAAATGGCAAATATCATTTTTGAATAGAGAAATTAATTTAGATTAGGTGCAGTATTAGCAATGGTAAATTCAAAGTTAGTATTAGAGACCAAAAGTGATTTAGTAGTAATGAGGCAAAAGCTGATGATATTGAAATGATATACTGTGAATATTTTGTTTTTTAATAAAGATATTATAATCAAGTATGAATCTGTAAACCCGGATGATTTATAGAGCATGTGGGGGGGGGGGGGATGTGGAAGGCATTCAGGTTTAATTTGGGGAAGTGGAACACAGATGCAATTCCTTAAAATCAAGAGCCCCTCAACAACATCAAGGAACTTTGCTTGAGGGGCTAATAAAAGCTAGAAATGATCAAAATAGGAATTTAATTTGTAATTGAAAGATATGATGAACAGTAAAAATAAAATATTAAGTAATTAGAACAAATGTAAAAAACTGAATTAAGAAATCGTAATGACACGATTGCAAACGATACCCTGTGGCCGGGATTGAAACCCGGAGTCATAATATCAAAACCAGGTTGTCATGTTGCCGCATTTGTGGTCACAGAGGTGCCCTGTGCTAAGTTTCCTGTGGTGCAGAAATATTTATATACGTAGTTGGATGAATTTTATTGTGGGTAGCTGGTGTAGTGGCTAACGGGATGGTCTGGAGTTTTGAGAGTATGACTGCGTGTTTTAATTTTGGGTGGGGGGGGGGGTATTATGGTTTTTAAAAACTGAAAAATGTTAAATAAGTCTTATGACAATCAAGGATGAGGAAAGTGAAATAATAATTTAAAATATCAATTTATTAAAGTAAAAAACATAAGTTATTACAAATTAGTTGTAAATGGCATCATCATTATGGTGATTAAATTTATTATTTAATGTTAAAAGAATGTTTAGTTTTGATTCTCATGAAACAAGCACTTATTTGTCAGAGACAAAAATCCAAAAACTTTTAAGCATTACAAATTTACTTGTGAAGAGGAATTTTAAGTTATTTATCATTGATCATTATTGTCACCACTTGTCGAAAGTATTTGTTTCATTCAGGCTGTCCCCGTATTACCAAAGAGCTCGGAAGGCTTCTTCAAAGATTAAGAATGTGAAAAAAAAATTTATGGATCAATTTGACCCTAATGAAGCTGTGACACTCTTGTGTCCCACTTCAGGGAAATCTTAAACGCCACAAACACACCTCTCAGCAGATATTTTGTGCGACAAGGAACCACTGACTAATTCTTGAGCTCGTCGCAGTAGCATTAAAAAAAATATCACCTTAAGTCGTAATGGAACGAGATTCTCTCCTTCCCTATATCCTCCTCCCATTTTCCATCCAGTTTTCAGTAAAGGTCAAAATGGAGAGGAAGCAGGCTTTGGGCATATTAGACTTATCTTTATGTCTAATGTCCAAATGAATAAAATGAATAAATACTATGTAAATAAAGTATTTCTTCTCTAATGTTCAGTGCTTTTTGTAAACCAGGGTAGTCCACCCCAACCCTCTACGACACCTCTTCATTGGGAATCAGATATGAAACCCTTTAAATCCCCCACCGTACATAAGGTAAAAAATACACAAACATATAATGAAGCATATATAATTCAAAAAACCAAAAATAACATCAGATATTAGACAAACACAGCATAGGACACAGCACACAACAAGAAAACAGGTTACTTAAAAAATGCTAGAGTACAAAGGAACAGCCTCAAAAGTTTTACTGAAAAAAGTTAGTTAGACAAGACTGGCCTCTTGTGAATCCCATGCTGAGTATCATTAATGAAGCTGTCTTCCTGTGTAAAAACCGAGATAAAATAATTATTTAAAATCTAGCACATTTCATTCTCTTTGTCAGTATATTTTCCCCTTGTAGGTTCTGTCACAAACTGCTTCAAAAAACAATCCTGAACTACTTCTAAGAAATCGTATGATTCTAAATTTGGGGGACGGTATATCACACCTAAAATAAATTTTTCAGACTCTGTATGTGTTACTTCAATCTACTTGGAACAATTTGAAACCCTGAATGTGACATTCTGCAGGCATGTCCCGACTTTTTGAATTAAACCACGTCTCAGTAATGGCAAATACATCTATGTTACCTGCACTAGCAACTAGTCTCAACTCGCCCATCTTATTCCTAGCACTGCGACTATTTGTGTAATAAACTTTTAATGACCCTCCTCTCTCTTTACCCTTCCTGCTTTTTTCTATTATTCCACTAAACCCTATTGTCCTTATCACCCAAGGTCCCTGGCTTTTCAATATCTATCTCGTTCTTATAACTAGTTCCCCTAGAACTCGTAATATTACTACACTGGGACTTCACTGTTTTCCTGCATAACCTGCTAATCAGGTCCTCACTTCTACGTCTGCCAACATCGTTGCCTCCAGCACTGAGACAGATAGTTTCCACGGCAGTCTCTTTCTTTTTCATCGTTTCTACCTTTCCATTCGTCTTCTTGATCATCAACTTCTTTCTCTGCTGTCCAGCCACTGACCACTTTCCCTTCTTGACCTGAGGACTCAAAACAGGAGGACTACTCCGAATCTTTTTGTTTTCCTCGGTCAGTCGCCGAATTTCCAGATTTGCCAACTTCCTTAAGCTGGTAAAGTTGCTCAATGGAGGGCATCTTGCTTCAATTCTAGAGAGCACGCAAAACAGGTCTTCACAGAGCCCAAGTACACGTCAACACTGCGCAAAACCCAACTCAATCAGGAGCTACTGCGCACGTCCACACGACCCAATAGTGATATGAAAAGTGGGTTATAGTAAGCATATATACACACCTGGAGAAGAAACAAGTGTAAAGGAGAGAGATTGAGATTTTGGGAAATGTTGAGTGAATGCATGGGGAGTTTTGAACCAAGTGTGAGAGTAATGGTGATTAGGGATTTCAATGCTAAAGTGGGCAAAAATGTTGTGGAGGGAGTAGTTAATCTGAGGGGCCAGGGGTAAATGAAAATGAGAAGCCTTTAAAATTGAGCTATGTGTATATGGGGAAAGAGGAAAATGGCAACAAGAAGCAAGAGGGAGGTGAAAGTGTATAAACTAAGGAAGGATGAAGTTCAGGTGAGATATAAGCAACTATTGGCAGAAAGGTGGACTCGTGCAAGTAGTGGGGGATTGAAGAGGGTTAGAATAGTTTTAAAAATGCAGTATTACAATCTGGGGCAGAAGTTTGTGGTTATAGGAGAGTGCATGCAGGAGAAATGAGGAGCAATTGGTGGAATGATGAAGTAAAGGTTGTGATAAAAGACAATAAGTTAGATTATCAGAGGTTTTTACAAAGCACAAGTGTTATAAGAAGAGTAGAGTATATGGAGAGTAAAAGAATGGTGAAGAGAGTGGTGAGAGAGTGCAAAAGGAGAGAGCAGATGATAGAGTGGGAGAGGCATTGTCAAGAAATTTAAATGAAAATAAGAGAAACTTTTGGAGTGAGTTAAACAAGTTAAGAAAGCCTACAGAACAAATGGATTTGTCAGTTAAAAACAGAGTAGGGGAGTTAGTAGATGGGGAGATGGAGGTTTTAGGTAGATAGCGAGAATATTTTGAGGAAATGTCAACGAAGAATGGGAGGCAGTAATTTCATGCACTGGCCAGGAGGTATACCATCTTTTAGGAGTGAAGAAGAGCAAAATGTAAGTGTTGGAGTTACATGAGGCATTACGTACAATGAAAAGAGGTAAAGCAGCTGAAACTGATGGGATCATGACAGAAATGTTAAAAGCAGGGGGGTATATAGTCTGGGAGTGGTTGGTACTTTTGTTCAATAAATGTATGAAAGAGGGGAAGGTACCTAGGGATTGACAGAGAGCAAGTATTAGTCCCTTTATATAAAGGGAAGGGGACAAAAGAGATTGTAAAAATTATAGAGGAATAAGTTTACTGAGTATACCAGGAAAAGTTACAGTACGGTTATAATTGAAAGAATTAGAGGTTAGACAGAATGTAGGATTGCAGATGAGCAGGGAGGCTTCAGAGTGAGTAGGGGATGTGTATATCAAGTGTTTACATTGAAGCATATACAGCAGGGCCCCACTTATACAGCGGGGTTAGGTTCCAGGCTGTCGCTGGAAAACAGACATCGTCGGAAGACAGAACTCCATTTTTTTCCATTTATAAATGCATATAAATGCCAGACAACAAGGTTACACTAAATTATATTAAGTTAGTTATAGAACTAGGCATTAAAAAAAAACAAAGTAAAATACAGTCACAGTAAATTCATTACTTATCTTAAAGTATTTGTTATCTTAATGTAGGGAGAGAGGTGAGTAGTAATTATTTGTATGAAGTCAGGTGCAGGTATCCCTGGCTCCCCGTCTCATACTTAATATACGATATTTAAAACATCCCACAGAGGTAAAATGAACATACAGTACACTCATTATTTACCTTAAAATATGTGTAGTCTTAATATAGGAAGAAAAGTGAGTAGTATTTATTTATATAAATTCAGTGTACATAGCCGGTAGGTGTAGCCCGCCTGGGCTACACCTACCAGCTACCTACACTGGCCCAGAGTCATATTAACATCAACATGCCTTGTTCACTGAATTTAATCATTTCTAACAACTACCTTTAGATGCCATCATAAACGAAGGTACAAGTAATGAATAATTCGTGCCGAAAATTGTAAACAAAAGCAGAGTGGAGGACTGGCTGGGCCAAACGCACATTCATACATGTTTTCTCTGATGGCTGAACAGAGAAAACGTAATGTTGTCCCTCCGCCCGGCTACCACATAGGTCCACAAGTATTATTATCAGAGCATATAAAATATGCAATAAATGCCAGACAACAAGTTTACACTAACTTATATTAAGTTAACAATACAAATAGCCATTAAAAATAAAATAAAAGATAAGATACACACAGAATACACTTATTACTTACCTTAAAATATTAATATTAATGTGTGAGAGGTGAGTGGCAGGGTGTTTATTGAATAAAATAAGAATGGAACACCATCATCCTCTAAATTGGCACTTAAAGCAAGAGCTTACAACTCCTTTTTATTACAGCTAACCTTAGACGCCATCATCAATGAGAGCCAACTAGTTAATGAAAGAGTAAACAAGAGAGAGATTACAGACTTGAGAAAATGTAAGAATACGAAGTGAACAGGTAGTGGACGATCACTTG